TCATATTTGTTTTAAGTGAGTGGGACCCTCTCTATGAGGCGCACGCCTCAAGAAAAATTGCGCAATAGCGTAATTGAGGCGCGCCTCACTTAGCTTGAGGCATACACCCCAGCAAAGGCCAAAATTGCGTAGGCCTCGAGGCGGTTTTGGTCCAAATTGCGCAGAGGCGCGCCTCTCATTGCACAATTATAAACTATGAGGCGCGCCTCTCCCACCAGCGAGCGGCGGTGCCGGCGGGAGAGGCGCTGGAGACATGTGGGAGATCCGGCTTCAGGAGCTTGCGGGATCGGGAACGGCAGCTTGTGGGATCGGGTTCGGGATGCTTTCGATTTGTCTTGGACCGGTAGAAGGGAGAGGCTATTTTCATATTTGTTTTAAGTGAGTGGGACCCTCTCTATGAGGCGCACGCCTCAAGCAAAATTGCGCAATAGCACAATTGAGGCGCGACTCACTCAGCTTGAGCCGTACACCCCAGCAAAGGCCAAAATTGCGTAGAGGCGCGCCTCTCATTGCGCAATTTTAAATTATGTTTTAAACTGAAATTTTGAATTTTAAGGTTTGATTTTTATTATATATTTTTTGGAGTTCCATATCAAGCGCTTTATTGATTCTTTTTTGATGATGGTATCTTAGCTCTTGATCTTCTGTTGAACACTTAATCTTGAACTTGTTGTGGGGTCTTCAAAATTAACTAGATGTTCTCCAAAACTTGGAACTCCACGTGGGAAATTTTTATGGTTGACTAGGATGACATTCATGCTTTTCAGCAGGGTAGGCAAAGCTATACATTGAACTTGTCAAGGTAGGAACTTTTATTATATCCAGTGAACGTACGCAGATGAACCTTCGGTTTTAGGCAAAAAAGCGCGTGTACCGAGTTTTTTAAAAAAACTCGGTTCAACTCGGTACTCGGTACAGGCGCTTTTTTTGCCTAAAACCGAACGTTCCTCTGCGTACGTTCACTGGATAAAATAAAAGTTCTCAAGGTAGTGGCTGTTGATTGGGTTATGAGCCATTGGCGATCAAGGTGATTCTTTTGTAAGGTAATGGGACCACCTGATTGGCACACAACACGGATTTGATGCTCCACTTTCTTGTGGAGGTCCCAAAGAAGTGTCATATTTGTTATTTTCTCCTTGGGTTAGTTGTTTTCTAGGGCTGGATTGATAGAAGAGGCCCAAGTAGTTTACTTTGTTGAATTTATTGGAATTATTGTATATTTCTATAATTTGATAAAATACATTTTATATAAAATGTTTTTTGTGATGACTCATGTTCTATATGTTTCAAAATTTTGGCTAATCATACAATTCAATGAGGAAGAAAATTTAAAACTCTTTTTGTTAATATGAGAGTGTTGGTTAGAGTTAGAAGGTAGCCATTGAAAAAATAGCTAGCAATTCAAAATGACCTATAGCTAAATTTGAAATATTTTCAAAAGGATGCAACTCATGACAATATGATGTATTCATGTTTTTAGTTTATTTCGTTTTGATGTAATTTGGACAATATTAGTTGTGTTTATGTTTTTTAAGCTATCCAATGATGGCAAGCATCCAATGATCATGGTAGGAGGTGCTTGGGCATGGCAAGGCTTGGGTTTGCTTGCATTTGGGTCCTCCTCGTCCTTGGGCTGCTTGTTATTCTCGGTTTGGGGCCTTGGCTGTTCTCGGATGGGCTTTGGCTACTTGGTTTTGAACTAAAATAGTTGGGTTCTACTTGGTACTAGCTTATTAATGCTTGAGCTGAGGTTTAGCTCATTATTTGGTGGTATAATTGCACTTCCTAGCTCATAAATTCATAAAGGTATGTGGAGTGGATCTTGTTTCTTCCTCTTCTTGAGCTCTTGGAAGTTGTTTGTTGGCTGATTTTGTAGACATTTGCCGGAGGAGTTTGGTTGGACGTTGGACCCTTTTGTTGTGGTGGACCCTCGGTTTGCAAGCCTAAGCATTTTTTCTTATATTTCCTACTTTCTCGTTGCATGTGAGGAAACTGCTTGCCGGTTGTTCTAAGGATAGAATTTTTATGTTATAATTTTGTTTCATTTGATTTGACTTTTCGTTTTTTTGAATGTTTGTAAGTTAAAGTGAATCGAGTTTGTTTTTGATGTCCTTGTGTTCTCCAACTTGGCTTTTCTTTCTAGTTTTGCTTACATCAGGTTTGGTATCAGAGCGAGTTAGAATATCCTTGGTTGGTGGGTCTTTTTTTTTTAAATCTAAGATGACTAATAATCCGGGGGATTGACAAAATATGATGCAACAGTTAGTGGACTTGTAAAATCAGATGATTGAAATGGCTAACACTCTTGCTAATCTAAACGTTAACCAACATAATGTCTAAACATCTGAAAGCGAAGAAGAAGTTCCTAGGAACCAAAATAGGCGACAAAGAAATTGGGATTATGGGATTAAAATAGATGTTCACAACTTCGAGGGGAAATTACAACCTGATCTATTTCTTGAATGGATTGAAAAAATGGATCAATTCTTTAATTGGAAAGAAATTTCTGAAAACAGAAAAGTAAAATTTGCAAGTTTAAAACTTACTGGTTATGCTCTTACGTGGTGGAAGAATTTACAAAACAATAGGCAAAGATGTGGGAAAGAGAAAATACGAAACTAAGAACGAATGAAAGAAAAAATGAGAGGAAAATTCTTACCATCTGATCACGCACGAATACTCTTTCAATAATTTAATAATTTGCGTCAAGGAAATCAGTCTGTTGAAGAATACACTGAAATGTTTTATAAACATCAATCGAGAAATGACTTAGATGAATCTGAAGAAAAAATTGTCTCAAGGTATATCAACGGTCTTAAGTGGACAATCCAAGATCAACTGAATATGCATCATGTTATTAAAATTGATGAGGCTTATCGTATGACATTAAAACTTGAAAAACAATATCAAAGGGAAAGGGGTCACAACAAGATAACGGAAACATATAAACGGCGACCAACTGGCGGGGTTAAAAATCAATCTCAAACTTCTGTGGGAACATCGGGTGTGAAAGTTAAGTTTTTTGAAAATCAAAATGTGGATAAAAGAAAGGGAATTATGGGGTCTAAACCTTCTGAACAATCTAGATTAATTGGGCCATGCTACAAATGTGGGCTTTATGGTCATCTTTCTGCGGCTTGTAGAAAAAATAACTCACCAAGAAACAATTTCATTGAAAATGATGGAGAGATAGAGGAAGAAGAAGAAAATGAATCTGAACCTGAAAATGATATTGAATTAGAGAAAGCTGATGTTGATGGAGATGAAGGTGAAGAGCTTTTGGTAATACGACAAGTCTTAACAACTAAAATTGACAACGGGGATAGATGACTTAGCAGAAACATTTTCAAGACAACTTGCACGATCAAAGGAAAAATGTGCACTCTTATGATAGATAGTGGGAGTTCTGAAAACTTTGTTTCTCAAAAAATGGTTGACAAGCTTAAGATAAAATCCAAACCACTTGCCAAATCTTATGATATCTTTTGGTTTAAGGAGGGGGGGGGGGTGAGGTTCCAATCACAAAAGAATGTGTTATTAATTTAACAATTGAGAGTTCTTTTAAGGATCAAGCTATTTGCGATGTCGTGCCTCTTGAAGTCTGCCACATTTGTTGGGTCGACCTTGTCAATTTGATCACAAACCATTAACAACGGTGAAAAGAACACTTATACTTTGATTCAAAATAATAAGGAGTCCACTCTCTATCCTCAAAAACATGTGCCTAATTCGCCTGCTAAAAATAACAAGGTTGCCAAAATAAACACTCTTGAACTGCTTTTAAATGCAAATGATTTGAAATATTCTGAGGTAGCTTACTTGGTTTTGGGAAAGGAAACTGATTATATTTTTCAAATTCCAAAAGAAATTCAGCCTTTAATTGATGAGTTTTCTGATATATCACCTGAGGAATTGCCTATGGGGTTGCCACCAATGAGAGATATTTAACATCATATTGATTTAATACCTGAAGCCACTTTGCCTAACCTTCCTCTTTACAGGATGAGTCCAACTGAGCATGCTGAACTTTTTAAGCAAGTAACTGATTTGTTAGAAAATGGTTTGATTAAAAAAAAAGCTTAAGTCCCCGTGCTGTGCCTGCTTTATTAACTCCTGAAAAAGGTGGAACGTGGAGAATGTTGTGTGCTGATTTTTGGAAAGAAACCTGAGGGTTTTCTTGGATAGCTTGCGAGCTATATGCCTTATCTTCCTCTCTTTGTCTAGGAAAGCTTGCGAGCTTCTCCTCCATTTCTTCTTGGCTTCTAATCAACTTTTTCTATCCGCAAGTGACCACCCCACCTGTATCCTTCTTCTCGACGAAAGGCAAAGCTTCTTTAGGTGTCTTTATTGTGTTGTTTGTAAGAGTCTTTCATCTTATAAAAAGTTATATTTTTTTTAGTTTTGAGTATTTCACGTAACTTATTATTATCTTAGGAAGAGTTTCATTTGCTTGCAAAAATTTGGGGCTTTTTCCAAATTTTTGCCTGCATCATAATAATAAAATTTCAACGACTTATATTACTATTGGGGCCTACAAAAAACTGCTTGAAATGGTAGATTATGATGAGCACAATGAGGATGACATGTTTAATGTGATATAGTATTTGGAAGCTTTAATATTTTTTCTTTATGGAACCTTGAGCAATCATTCCTCTCTATAATTTTTTTGCAGAAGTAGAGATTGCATTGGTTGTTTTCACATTCTATGGTTGAAGACTCTTATGCATCTCTTTCCTTAGAATGCAGCTTGTAGGGTTGTAAATATGGAATACTGTCATTATTTGATCCTTGTTATTCTTGTCATTTATTGCCATGAATTATATTATTGTTGTAATTTGATTCTTCACCGGTCATTTGCATGTTACGTTTCAATATTTTTTACAGCATTTTATAAATTTGGGATATGTATATTGCATATTTTTGCTATTTCAAGGCGTTTATACAGATGCAAATTTAATGCTGAAACCTTTTATGGAAGCTCTGAAATTTTCATTTTGCAGCAAGCCATGGTCATAGAGAATTCAACTGATTTTAAAGTTCAGAACTATGTTGGGAAACGCAAGCATTTGAAGGATCACAATGAGTGGAACAAGGAAATTGAGCAAATAGAGGCCAGTTTCTTTTGTCCTTATTTCCTAGAAATAAATAAATAAACATATAATTCTGTTATAAATTTGATTTTAACTTGAGAGTAAAAATGCATAGTAGTATAGCCTAGTTTTTGGCCGGTTTGTAACATAAGCATGGAGCACGTAATAGAATGTCAACTTCCAGTTGGAATTTATTGCTGTTCACCACTTCTAGAATTTAAACTGGATACCATAGGTTGCTTTAGCTTTCAATCTTTGGATCAAAGTCTCTGCTACTTATTATTTTTGGAATAGCTATGTTGGTATTATAGAGTCAAATTTATCATCTGAGTAACAATATTTATCAAATGTGTATATTTGTGGTGATGAAAAGTTATTTTTGAAATCGAGTAGCTAAATTGCAATTATTCATTTAGTGATGTCATAATTCCAAATTGATCTAAGTTGAAATTGTGGATGCAATGGCTGCGCATGGCCTGGCTTTTACTGCCCCTTTAAAGTGGAAAAAGTGTGTGCTCAATCTGACTTCTCATCTTCTCCATTCAGTTCATCTTTTTTACATTTTTGTTATGCCTAAACTTATGAGGTTTTACCCAGAAATAAGAAGCTTCAGCCAGAAATGTGTTATTTCACCCAAAAGAAGATACTTCGATTGTTAGTATATACAGGTTATTTATCCAAAAATAAGATAGTTCAGATAGCTTTATACAGACGTTAATTAATAATAAATATGGCTAGACTACTCTGTGCAATATCTTATTTTTAGACGTTAATTAATTATAAATATGGTAGACTAACTTTTGTATCTTTTGCTACGGCTTTTGGATGTTTTGAATGTTACAACATTTTTGTAGTTTTGTTTACCATGCAGGTTCTCGTCATGACCCCTCAAATTCTACTTCACAATTTGAGGCATTGTTTTATCCGGATGGAATTAATTGCTCTTTTGATCTTCGATGAATGCCATCATGCACAAGCACATACAAGGCATCCTTATGCACAGATCATGAAGGTGATTTCACTTTATAATTTAAGATAATGGAACCCTTTCGGTAGGCTCGTTTTATCCTATTTAATCTAATCCTACTTTCTGGAATTGTTCAGGAGTTCTATGAAACTAACTCTACTAAGCGTCCTCGGATATTTGGCATGACAGCATCTCCTATCATTGGCAAAGGTCATTTTGGCTCTTCAAATCTTATGCATTTTTCTTGAAATTTAGATTTTATCAATAGCTAGTAATAATTCATTTGTGTTGTTAAATTATTCTACATTGGGTACTATTGCATGAACTTATGTTTCTATTATTCAATCCTAATTTTACAAAGTATTTTAGTCAAAACTTGTGCGCTTCATAGCTTATGCTATAGTTAGAAGTACTGTATTTTCTGTATACCATTTTAGGAGGTCAATGATAAATTGTGTTGGTTTCCATAGCGTTGCAATAATGAATTTTTTAGATGAGTATTGTTAGATGCTTTGCGCATCTTTGCATGGAGTTTTTTACTTTATTGGTACATACATAAGCACACATACAAACTGGCTATTTACATACTAAAATACCTAATTAATCACATGCATATACTAGCATTATACTGTACCTATGCAGGATACATGCATATTCACTAATTCATGAGATCAAAACATGTAACTTGAGTGGTTTTATTGTTGAACTGGCCTAAACTTCTGTGCAAATCTCATTCAATCAACCAATGAACTAATTTCCCGCCTTTTCTAACGTAAGAAAATGTTGTGATATGACTCCAGTTGGCAGTTGAACTAAAGTAAAAGTTTTCTTTAATATTCTTAGGACATTATGGTTGGGCAGGGTAGTTTGGTTGACTTAATATAACCCCAATGTAAATCACATGTTATTGTTACTATTGTTGATTTGGTATGCCTATAAGAAATTATTTTCATGCCAAAGTTAATGATGAGGACATCAGATTTTGACACGTGTACCATCTCCGGAGACGCAGATCGACAGCTACGATCCAGAGCCTTTATTTTTGATTTACTTGTATTTTATTTATGTTTGTATTTTTATTTTCCTAGTTTGCCCCTGTGGGCATTGAGTCACTTATGTGGCTATAAGGGCATTTGTTTCATTTTAGTTTTATTTTTATCATGGCCTATTTATAGGAGGCCTCATGCAATGTTTGAGTGAGTTGCTAATGAATGAAATTTCTCTTTTGATCTCTTTGTGAGTTTGTGAACTTTCCAAGATCTCTTTGTGAGTTCTTGAGGAAGTGGCGCTTGTAGATCTCTTTGTGAGTTCTATGGGAGGTGTTGCTCGAGGTTTGTAAATCCGGATTTTCTTTTCCCTGAACCCAATTTATTTCTTCCCTACCTAACCAAAACTCTCTTCCTCCCAAATTCCCTTCCACCGGCCCCCATAAGTCCACCACCGGCCACCCCAGGCCGATCCCGACACCGGCGACTCCGCCAGCCTCCCCAGTCGACTGTCATCCCGCCGACTCTAAGCCCCCAGCATTACCGCCGGCCTCTTGGATCCTCCCTCTTGTTTGAATTTCAAACCTCTTGATTTACTCACTTTCCTAATTAGTTTCTCTCCAATTAAGAAAGTCAATTAAGAGGATTAAAGCCTATTTTGAAATTCAAATTTGTTTCCCTCTCATAATAAACCTATTTGGGGAAGTTACTTAAAATATAATCAAATTTGAAATTAAAATTCAGATTTGATTGGGTTTTATTTACTTAAATGTGGGCCCCAATTTTCTTAACTCCTAAGCTTTCTTCCCCCCCCATATGGCCGACCCCTTAATGGGCTTTTCTCTCTCCCAAAATTAAATTAAGAGCTCCACCAATTTAGCCCCAAATCCCTCCCCATTGCCGCCCCTCTCTCCACCTGGATTAATTTGAATTCTCAAATTAAATCCCTCCCCAAACCATCAAAATCTGAAACTATTTCAGATTTTCTGCAATTAAATTTTGGCCTCCCATCCTAGCCGTTCCCCTCCAAGTCTTCACGCCGGCCCAACGCCCTCCTTCCAAGCCGCCACTTCCACTTTCCCCCTCTTTCCATTGTGACTCCTTCATCTAAAGTTATCTCATCAGGGGATTAGATCTCTCAATCGGAGGAGAATTGATGTAAGCAAAGCCAACCCCGCCCCCCCCCTATATTTTAATGAAAAATTATAAAAATATATCTAAAATCATATGCATTCTCATTAAAAAAATTAGATATATCACTCTATATCTTATTACTTATTAAAAAATTAATATTTCTCCAATGATTATTAATGAATTGAGTTCAAATAAATTACTTTTATACTTAAGATATTTTATTTGAATTAATTAAATTATGTTTTAATTTTGAACTATATTTTTAGATTAATTGAATTTAAATTAGAATAACGCCATTATCCACCAAATTTTAAATTATTTTTTATTAATCCTAAATTATTTTTATTAGATTAATTAGACAATAATGGTTCACATAAATTATTTTTTATTAATCCTAAATTATTTTTATTAGATTAATTAGACAATAATGGTTCACAATTAGTAAAAAAAATTATAAATAATACAAAATTATAAATAAAATATAATTAAACTAATTAATTTTTTTAGATTTATTTACAAATTTTATCAATTCCCTCCCCAAAAAAATTAAACAAATATGGGCGGGAGAGATAGAGAGAAAGCGGGGTGGGGAGAGAGAGAGAGAGGAGAGATAATAAAGAGATAGATAAAAAGCATGCTGTCAAGTGCCAACAACATCAGGAAAAAGAATTGGGTGAAGGCGGAAGCGGAGGCGGAGCAAAGGATTGGTTTTAAAAATTAAATTTAATCTTATAGGTATCAATAATTATATTAATATAATTTAAAATAAGCTGATTTTTATATAATTATCTTTAATTACTGCCAACATATTACTTTCAAAGTTAGATTATTTTTTATTTAACTTTATATTAATATAATTATTGATACCTATAAGATTATATTTAACATATTGGAAATCTACTTAATTTGCATATATTTAATTACTGCCAACATATTACTTTCAAAGTTAGATTATTTTTTATTTAAATGCATTAAACCAACAATTTCTCTCTTTAGTGATTATATCAATTCATTTGCAATGTTCTATGGATTACATCATCAGAAGTTCTACACTCATAAAATTATAACTATTGTCCATCAAAGAAATTAGCAATACGTTGATTTGATGGCTGTTTTGCTGAAAATTGTTTTATCTTGTAGTATAACATTTCAGTTTATTTGGTTGTTGTTTTGGTTGGATTAGCCATCTGCTCATTGTTTTTTTTTAAGGTTCACTAGCTTGGTGCTTAGATGTGTTCTATCCCAACCTCTGCTTCTACAGTGTTGTATTTATAGAATGCTGAATTCAACTTCTGTACCATATGCGATGAGTACTATTTCTGGGTTTAGTTCTTATAGCAACTTAACGGTTTTCATGGATCCCTATTCTAATGCTCATTTCTTATGCCTGGAGATCACTGGTTTTCTATTTGGGAAAGAACCAATTGTTGTGATTGATCTCTTGCAGTTTTTTGTTGGTGAACACTTTGGAGAACTGGGATTGGTTCCTTCGAAATTGTCTGACTTTGAGATGAGATAAAATACGGCATGCAAAGAATATTTACTTTTTTCCCAATAAAAATCTCACTTTCTTTCAGTTTTTTGTTGTTAGACATTGAAAATTTTTAGGCGTGGTTTTAGTGCGACTGTATATTTTTTGGGGAAGTCGTTCTTGAGGACTGGAAATCTGGAATTCTATTTCTGTGATCTGTTTCCTTTTTTCTCATCTACACAATTCGTTGATTTTTGCAATGTGACAAAATTTATAGAACTTGAACTCTGATTGTTGTGTAAATCCTTATCAAGTTGCGGTTTTCTTATGGTTTAATTTTCCTACTGAATTTCTTTAATGTAGATATGCTCATTAAATTATTATTTGGATGGATTTTCTTATAAATTTTTTGGTTTTGATCTAAAGAAGGCAAAGTGCTTCTTTTAAACTTTCTTTGGTTCTGCAATTTCTAAAATCTTATTTTTGTGAATCTCATCTATTGCGTCAATTAGATGCATTAGAATTGTAGACCATAAGATGTTACATATACAAATATTTATATATAGATGCCTTCTATATTTTCAGAGATGTTCACCTATTGTACTCTTGTTCTTTTTTTTGCTATGTTGATTCTGGCTAAAAGATGGTTCAACTTGTGCTGGAAGTGGTTCATGGCTAAGAGCATGTACATACTCACAAACGCTTTTTTTTTTCTACTTTCCATGTAGATAAAATGCATCTTATTAATGGAATTTGCAAGACCTTTCCTGTATGTATTGGTTACTGATATATCATTTTTAAATTTTTTTTGTATGCTTTTATATTGCTTTCATAATATCATGTACTTGTTAATTCATTCCATAACAAACTTGTACTTATTTTCCCCAGGGCGCTCCAATCAGTTGAATTATACCAAATGTATCAATAGTCTTGAAAATTTACTTGATGCGAAGGTTTGTTTTTAAATTTCTACACTGGAACTTGTTTTAACTGTCAATAAGTTAACTTCTTGTTGTCCCCTTTGGAATAGGTGCATTCAGTTGATGACAATCTTGAACTTGAAAGTGTTATTGCATCCCCAGATATAAAAATCTACTTTTATGGTCCAGTTGTTCATTCTGAATCAACTCTTATCTCAATTTATTGCAAAAAACTAGATGTATTAAAACATCAGGTGATTATCCTAACAATTGCACACATTCAGAGGAACAGTTATCGTGACTATTTGCTTACTGTTCTTTCGTTCTAATTTGTGCAGTGTACGAGCTTGTTAAGGGAAAACATTAGTGATTCTACTGAGAGAAGAAAAAAGATGAAGTTGCTTTGGCGAATGCATGATAATTTGATTTTCTGTTTGAAGAATATCGGGCTTTATGGAGCCATACAAGTGGGCTGACGTGAACTATATTATTTTATTTGGTTGCATTGTTTATCTATTTATTGCTTTGCTTAACCGTGATAATGTTGTCATTGATTATTTTGAAAGGTCTGTCTGCTCTATGAAGCAGCATCAAGCATATTAGCTTCATAAATATTCACTATAATTTTTTTGGCTCTAAACATACTATTAAGAGCACTGGGTTGTAAAATGATTGGATCATTTCCAACATGCCATACAGTTATGGTTCTTCCATGCAGCTTATGATCATCATTAGGTTTATGTAAATCCTTTTTGGTTGGTTTAGATATCCATTTCTATTCATTCTTGTGAGTGCTATACAAGGTTTAGCTCTATTTTACACAACTTAAGGTCATTTTACATAACCTTTGCCTTCTTAATCAGTTTTACTTATTTCTCTATTCTTATCACTCACACCTTTGAATAATGCAAAAATTTGCAAATTAGCTAAGTAGCTTTCTATACCAATGAGACATAAAGCTCTTGGCTGAACACTCTTTCTTTCGTATTTCTTAATATCATAAGTGTTGGATCCTGTTTTTTCGGTGGATGATGTCAGACCATACTTCGGACTGCCTATAGACTGAGAGCCTGGATGTGAAGATGACGAAGTCAAAACATGAGAGAAAAAGAGAGAGCATGAGGGAGAGAGAATATGAATATTGATAAAATTTTTGTTATATACGTCAGATGTACATGAATAATAGAAGCGAGAGTTCTGTGCTGCAGATCTTAAGCTAAGAAAAGAGAAAAATGGCACAATATCTCCCCTTCCCCCATTTTCTTGTTTTACTTATTTTTTCTCCCACTCCCTTTTCTTGTTTATCCTCTTTTTTTCCTCCCCTTTCCTACTTTTTTTTCCCTTTACTGCTCCCTCTATTTATAGGGCTCGAAGTGTTATAGTGGATATGTACAAGATGCAGTAGTTGTTCCATCCGTCTTTGATGTTGCTCAATCGTCTGTGCCGAGTGAAGTGAAAGTCACCGTGAGAGAGGATGTGAGTAGGATGAACACGTGGACCAAGTTAGCTTTGGCAGGAAGCCAGTTTAAGGTCGCCCTGTTGAGGTGAGAGGGGCGAGTAGCGTCTGAATGTAGTTAGGAGATCGGGCTGGCGTAGAGCAGGGAGTCGATCTGAGGTCGCCTGTTGAGGTGAGATGGGGCAAGTAGCGTCTTGATGTGGTATTGTGGTTGATCTGATTGTGAGAGATGTCTTGCAAGGGAGATATGTGCTTTAGCTTAATTTTTTTATGTGTCTCATATGAAAGACTTGACTTTGGCTGGGATGGATAAAGATCTGTTTGACTGAGAGGTGGAACTTCTGTGGTCGCTCTCGTTTGGGAGGCTGATTTCTTGGAAGATGTGGCCAAAGTTGGTCCGCCATACTCCAGTGTTAAGCTCCTCATAAGCGAGTCCCTCGAAAGGATTGTTTCAAGAGAGGAGTGGGATTCTCTTTTCACTCGACCTGAATGTAACATGCAATATATTTGTGAACGGGTACCTGCAGTGGTGGAGCTAGAAAATTTATTTGGGTGGGGGGACTATATTAATTTTTTAAAATTTTACATCCGAGCTTGCGACCGGCATATACAACTTTAAATTTATTTTTCAAATTATTATTTAAGGTAGAATATTAAATATATGATAATAAATAACTTACAGTTTATAACGTCTACTCTTCACATGCTGAAAGTGTTGAATGATTACTTCATTATCAATACATTTTAAAATTTCTTTTTCAGTATAAGCGATTAACATATCATTCAGCCATTGATCTCTAATTCTATTTCGTAGCTGAATTTTATAATATTTATGGCAGAAAATGCTCTTTCGATGCTTGTTATTGCAACAGGTAATACTAATGCCAATTGCAGTAGTCTAAAAATAAGATTATATATAATATTCTTCATGCTTTGGATCATTTTCTCTGTAAGGCTTCTTATATTTTTTAATGAAGAGAAATGATCATTAGATCGCATATCCATGATATAAGTGTCCACTTGATTTTCAAAAAATGATCGATAAAAAATAGTAAAATCAGTTGGATAAAATTGTGCCATTCTAATCAACTTATTTTTGTTGAATGCATAAAATTCAATATTATGATTCAACAGGCAATAGACAAGAGTAGCTCAATATTTACTTCTGTAAAACAATTGTTCAACTCTTGAGGTTACATATCGATAATTGTGTAGAAAATTTTAACATGAAAATGATATAAATTTATTTTATCCTGAGCTCTACAACGAGGCCGGCCACGAGCAACCCATTTATCATCCATATGTAGAACATTTGTGCAGCTCATAAAATGAAGTTACTTAACTGATGAAGTTCGCCCACTTATTATCTCTAATATCTTGTAGTTTTATTTTATATATACAAACCAAAGACTTATCACTTACAATATTTTGTTCTTCATATATTAAATCTCATTTTATATGAACAAAAGACATAACATTTACCATATCTTGTTCTCTCATCTGCAAAGTTTGTAATAGTTTAATAGTGATACCATGTACATCTTTCATCAGATGTAGGAAGAAAGGGCAATTTAAAAGTTGTTAATGATTTCAATAATCCGTAAGGCTCACATTTTTGTTTTGAGCTTACACAATCTTCCAAAATAATTTTCAGAACATCAATTACTGTAGAGAATATTATGTTCAACCTTATAATTCTTTCATAATGCTAACCCCATCGTGTATCGCCTACAGGCCTAAGGGTTATTTTTTCCTTTAAGCCTCGTCCAGTTACTAGTTCTGTACTCTGTAATTCATTTAATGCCTTCTCTCTTTATATATCTCGAAGCTGATAACGACGCTTATACGTAACACCAATAATATTCATCATATTTGTAATTATATTAAATAAAAAAATAATATAAACATGATTTTCCGCAATTAATACCAATACCAACTAAAGATGATGTGAAAATAAATGAATGTAATGTGCTGATTTATTTTCATTCAGAAATAGAGACTTTAAACCATTAAACTCCTCTCTCATATTGCTAGCACCATCGTAACCTTGACCCCAATATTTTAGAAATGCTCATTCCATAAGTTGAAAGGAGTTGTTCAATTGTAATTTTGAGACTACTTGCAATTGTATCTGACACATGAGCAATCCCCAAAAAATATTTAATTATCTGATTTTTCTTGCTAACAAAATACACTTTAATTATCATTTGCTCTTTTGCGGATGTGTTACGCGATTAGTCAACTTAAATTAAAAAAAACTTATCACCAATCTCCTTAGTTATGAAATTAGCAATTACAATAATGAAAGCTCTTGTGATATCTTTTTGAATATCAGACACAATTAATTTTAAATTTTTAGGTGCATTCTTTGGTACCACATGTTGGAGAATTTTTGTTATCCTCAAACAGATTGCATACTTTATAATTGAGCACGGCATAAAAACGATGATATATTATCCCGAAGGATAAAAATTTTATTTCCTTATGGACTCAATGATAAAATTTACAATTTTGAATAGAAATTCCCCCATTTAATGTTTGGTTGAATGGGATTTATTTATTTCTAGGGTACAGACGTCCCATAAGGGCAAGCCCCTATGGTTAATTACATCTCAAGCTTTGACTTGAGATGACTTTTGATTAAACTAGTGGTTTTCTTGTTTTTGGAAGTCATTTAAATTTTGGCTAAAATTTGATTTTTAAAAATCCATGAAAGTCTTGTTTAAAAGGTTTTGACCTTCAGGAATTTCAAGGGGGTGAGAACTTAGAATTAGATTTCGAAATGAGAGTCAAAGGCGGTGAAGTAGGAGCACTTGATTCTGAGAAATCTCAGATGTGCTTGGACTATCCTATGTTGAGCTTTACATTTTAGACATCTAATTTTTGTTTAAGTTGATATTTTTATTAGAAGTTTGGGGCTTACATTCTAACAATATATGTTGGAGGAACTGCTCGAAGGGTGAGGGCCTATGTTGCACCGATACACCTATTTATGAAGGCGTGCTGTATCCGATACACCGATACACGGATACACCTCCGATACTCCACCGATACGTGTCGGATACACCAAAGACATATCCAATTAAAATACTATTTAGTTTCAAAAGGACACGCGTATCCGATACACGTGTTCGTCGAAAAAAAAGATGCGTCGTATTTACTTCCGCGGCTGCGAGCAAAGTTCTCTCATTTCCGAGATGGATTTGAGTCTCTTGATGATATGAGAATATTAGAAATTACTAATCTTTCACTTGATGAGCCTGAATTAAAAGCTATGATATTTATTGAAGATGATATAGAAGTTCAAAGACAAACCATTGAAGAAGCTAATCATATCATTCCTTCTATTGAATAGTTGAAACTTTATGTGCTAGACAATTTATGTTTATGCTTTTGTTGTTGTACTAGAGATTTAATGCTTACTTATGTTTTGATATTATAAGCTACAAGGCTACAAATGATGTTGTTGTCATTTTTTTTGTAATTTCAAATATTATGCTTTGATTGTTTTCTTAATTTTTATGTGTGATTTATAAATTATGATGCCGTGTCCGCGCCGTACCCGTATCCTGTATTTTTAAGAATTGACGTGTCCCGTATCCGTATCGTGTCGTATCCGTGTCTCCGTATCCGTATCGGTGCAACATAGGTGAGGGCTTATATGGTGATTGGAATCAACAATTGCCTCAGATCCTAGAACTAAGGTTAGGACTACTAAGATGTAGTGCCTCGAACCTAAGTATAATGAAATGCAAAGGGACTTACAAACCATACCCCACATGAGGCATAATCAGCCCAACCTCTGGATTTATTGTCCTGCATGGAAAGAACTACCAGTTAGACTCTCCTAATCGTTTTTCAAACCATGTATTATGGTCTTAATGCATATGAAGAATGGGAATGCTATTTTGTTTAAGAAGTAGGACTTCCAATTTGACTTTGAGGCCAAGATGCCTATGTATAAAGGTATGCAGAATGCAGACTCACAAATACAGACTTTTTGCTATCTAGTACTTAAGTGAGAGCTTTCTATATGCAACACACTTTTAACCATGCATGATTTTTTTATGTTTTGAAAATTTGGCCCCTTGAAGGGAGCCATGCAAGACTTTCTTATTTGTTAGAAAATCATGGAGCCTAAATCAATTTTTATATTGATTACATTATAATGGATAAAAATCTTATTTTATTCTAAGAGCCTACCGCATTAAAGTCCAGGCTACACTCAAACAAACAAGAGAATAAACCTAGGAAAAATGCATGCTTTTTGCGCAATCAAGTAGACAATCAAAACATGCTTGCAATTCAACCAAAATAGAAGTACGAGTAATGTCTCAATTATTACAAACAGTTTTGGCAGCTGAGTTGCCTGTCATTATATAACCCAGTTAAATTTACAGACTCTACTTATGGGGGTTTTCAAGCTTTAACTCTCAAATGGATATTTGGGACCTCCAAAGGAGTACATCCTTCCTCGATCCACATTAGGGGTGTAAGTGAGCTGAGCCGGCTCGTGAGCTGGCTCGAACTCGACTCGTTAACGAGCTCGCGAGCCGAGCTTATCGAGCTTCGAGCTCGAGCTCGAGCCTATAATCGAGCTCGAATGGTTAACGAGCTCGAGTTCGAGCTTGAGCCGCCGGCTCGTTAATTATTTATTACTCGTTTATAGAGGGACGAGCTCGAGCTCGAGCTCGTCTGTCGAGCTCGACTCGAGCTCGAGCTCGAGCTCGAGCTCGCTTTTTGACTAACGAGCCGAGCTCGATAAGACCTAAACTCGACTCGACTCGACTCGTTTACACCCCTAATCCACATTTCCTTCTAATCCAAACCCTACAAGTTTTACATCATAGATTTAATCAAATACATGATAGAAAATGAAAAAGACTCAAGTATACAAAATAGAGTTAGAAGACAGTTTATATGATAATCACATTACATTTAAAATTTGTCTAGCACTTAGAGTGTCAAGCATCTGCTTCTACCATGTTGGTCATGCCTCTTGGAGGGTTTTAAGCAGCGCCTGCAAGCAAACAACATTATAATAATCATGATTTATTTTATTCCTTCTTGGACATGGTCACATGCACATAAAGCATATATATATATATTTCTATACTAACCACTTAAAAGCAAGTGTCCACAACGCAGACAATCCAAAAGAGCATTCATACCAAATTATCAATCACATATATGCACACACAGAAAAATCTTAATCCTAGCATACTTAAGGGGCTGTACACCTAAGTGTGTGAGGCTTGTGTGGTATGTCAAGGGTACTTAATTTTATTTTGGAATAAAGATGTTTAATCTTTATCCAATGGTGGTTTTACTTTAAGTTATTTGTGGCTTAAAGATTTTATTTGATTTTTAAATGTTTCACCTTTAGAAGGGTTATGAAGAACCCATAAAGTAATTAATACTTGCTTTGGACAAGCTTATTATTTATGAATCCTAAGATACAATGATGTAGGTTTCCCACCTTTTGGGGGAGATGATTGATCATTGTATCAAAAGGGACCTAAGTGATTTTTAGATATTTTAGAGTTCTCTTATTGTTTGGATAAGAGAAGTGTCTATCTAATAGAGTAAGATAGACATGCCTAAGGGGTTGCACTTACGACTTGGTGAAATTCATCCAATAGAGTAGGATGAACTTCAACAATGGGATAACTCCCTATGTATTTAGCATTTTAAATGTGATAGGAAAGATCACTTGACTTGGTGAAATGAAAATGATTGCTTAGTTTTGGGTCTAAGAAAGCTGTTCAACTTATAACTTTTGGGCTATGTGTTAAAGAATTCTCCTTAGCTTTTGGAGCTAAGTAGAGAAAGTAGGAATCCGACATTTAGCTTTTGGGCTAAATGTTGGAAAACTCCCTTTAGCTTTTGGAGCTAAAGAGAGGGAAAATCTCCTATGACTTGGAAGTTGGAGGATAGTTGGGGGAATATGCAACTTATGGGTTGCAAATTCGTGAATGTCTTTGAACATTTTGATATTCAAAGAGAGGGTTGCACCCTTTCAACTTAGGTTGGAAGGATGGATTGGAAATAGGACCTTTGAATCCGATGTTTGAGATGAAACTACTTGTTGCTTTTGGTTTAACAAGTAGGTTGATTTAGAACATGATTGATTCACTCAACATAGGTTAAGTGAAAGAGAGTTTCATATAACTTTTGAGATGTAGAAAGCAAAAAAGAAGATGCAACTTTGGGTTGCAAGCTTCCGAAACCTCTTTGAACATTTGGTGTTCAAAGAGAGGGGTGGACACTCTCCTAATTTTGGTTTAGGGGAATGATGTGATTTCCTACAACTTTTGAGTTGTAGAAACAAGGAAAGGATCATGCAACTTGTGGGTTGCAAATCAATGAATGTTCCTTGAATATTTGATGTTCAAAGAGACAAATTCATTTGCCTAATTTGAAGCTAGGCAAATGGAAAGGAATTTAAAGGTTTCCTACAATTTAAGCTCGTAGGAAAAGAGGTGGTCAGAAATGCAACTTAGAGATTGCAATTTGGAGAAGTTTCTTTGAACACTTGGTGTCCAAAGAGGGGATTCATCCCTCCAATTTGGGTTGGAAGGATGGAGGAGAGGGGATGCAACTTGGAAGTTACAACCTCATGAACATTCTTTGAACATTTGATGTTCAAAGAGGGACGTACATTCTAATAATTTGGAGGCTTAGGAGAATGAGATAGTTTTCCTACAACCCTTGAGTTATAGAAAGGAGTTGATATGCAATTTATGAATTGCAAGTTGGTGATTATTCCTTGAACATTTGATGTTCAAGGAGAGAGGACCACTTATTTGATTTAGGCTAAGTAAATGGTGAAATTTCTTTGAGCATTTGGTACTCAAAGGAAGATGAGCATTTGCTCAATTTTGGGCTAAGCAAATGAGGAAGATTAGGATTTGAATCCTATGTCTAGAGGATTACTCATTGGTTTGTGTTCCAACGAATAAATGATTTGATAAACTTCCTACAACTTTGGGGCTGAAGGAAGAAGATGTAACTTGAGAGTTACAACATTTTATGTGTGTTATTTGAATATTTGGTATTCAAAGAGAGAGGATCATTCACTTGGTTGAAGTCAAGTGAATGGAGATATATACTTATTTAATTGATTAACTTTCATTTTTTTATATTTATTTTAATATGATAAATAACAAAAAACTTTTAAAAAATAATATAATCTTCCATATACCATAATACTCAAAATGTCCTCTCATTTAACTATTGGGGTTAATTTTAAAGCCTTTGGACCAAATTGGAACATTTTCTAATAGTCGTGGACTAAATTGGGTCATCATGAAAGTCTTGAATTAAATTTAACATTTATTAATAGTCGGGGGACTATTTTGAGCTTTTACCCTTAATTTATTTTATTTCTTATTATATTTCTCATTAGACCAAGTGACTAGACGTTGAAGTTTTGTGTCTAACAAAAATGGTGATGCTGAATTTTGTTTTCCAAATTTATTTTTAACAAATCTAATTTCTTCTCTTGTTATGATAGGCTTTGAAGATTCTTTCAAATTCTGAGGAATCTAAGCTTCCTCAAAGCAATAGAGATGAAAGTGGAAATCATGACAACCTTACAGATCAATATTTGGGAAAGGCTGCATCGATTATAGATTTTAGCATATGTGATGGTATCCTTCTGAATTCAGTTATAGTATATTCTTGTTTGCTGGAATGAATTTTCTATGTTTCTGATAATCTATGTCATTAGTGCCTATTATTTCATCTGGTTCTCTCTTCTTGGACGCTGTGAAATGTTCTCTAGTCATGATGTATTGATGGCATGCCATATTATTAGCTATTCACAAACAATAAAACTAAGTGCTGACTTGTTCTAATATTTGTTTTCACTTTCTGTTCTTTGAATTGTACTTGCACACTGCTATGTACATGATAATAAATAGAACTATGTGGTGAAATCTAATAATGTATTCTAATGATAATGATGAAACATTGAGATCAATGCAAGGACTAAGGTATATTTTTTCCCTTGTTTACATGTGCATTATGACCCCATATAGTGGGCTATTGGCTTGATGTTGTAGTTGTTGTTTGCATGAACATTATCTACAAAATTTGTATATGCGTCAATAATCAACGTGATTAGTTTTTAACCATCTACATTCGGATAAGTTGTACAAATTTCCAACATCCAACTGTTGATTCATTCTCAACTACATTGGTAATGAAGTATGGTAAAATACTTCTGTTAGATATCACTGCTGTAATGTAATTAGATATCACTGCTGTAGTTCTTTTGTGTACATTCAAAGAGATGCATGCTTGATCTGCATTCTAGTACTATCATTCAAAGATAGTTTCATTTCAAAACATCAAGCTAGAAGGACTCAGTTGATTTCAGATTTTAAAATTTTTGTAATGTTTCTTCTACTACCATCACCATTTGCATTATTATCATTATAATTGTTAGTCTTTTGTTTCCTATCGGACTTAGTTTCTTTGTTTTTGATGAACCACTTGACTTTTCAGATGAATCTTCTTCAGATTCGCTTTCTTTGGATGCATTTGAAGAACCATTTTGTTCACAAAAATTGACATTGCTAATCGGTATCCTTTCCACCTACAGGTGCATACTATTTTTTATGTTTCAATTTGAGAGATGTTCATTGGACCCATACGTAAATAAACTTAGATGGTAACTGTGCCTTACAAACTTATGTTAGATTCTAGAGATTGTGATTTTGAAAATATTTTGATTCTTCTTCGTTAAGTTTTTTCCAATGTTATTACTTCTATTATAGTTTATTTTGTTGTGTGTGTGTGTTTTAATTTCTTTAGTTAATTTTAACCCAATGTTCCTTTCTATGTTGCACCGATACGGATACGGCGATACGGATACGACACGATACGGATACGGGACACGCCAATTCTTAAAAATACAGGATACGGATACGGCGCGGATACGGCATTATAATATATAAATAATACATAAAAATTAATAAAGTAATCAAAGTGTAATATTTGAAATGACAAAAAAATTGAAATAAAAGTAAGCATTAAGTATTGAAATGTCTAGTACAACAACAAAAACAAGAAGATAAATTGCCCAACACATGAAATTTCAACTATTCAATAGAACGAATGATAGGATTAGCTTCTTCAGTGGTTTGTCTTTGAGTTTCTATATCATCTTCAATAAATATCATAGCTTCTAATTCAGGCTCATCAAGTGAAAGATTAGCAATTTCTAATATTCCCATATCCTCAAGAGATTCAAATCCATCTCCAGCAACATCCCACATCCTGTTGTCTCCTTCCATATAAGTTGGAGTTTTCCGAGCGATACTGAGTTCCAATACCGAGCAGTACCGAGTTCCAATATCGAGCAGTACTGAGTTCCAATACCGCTCGGTACCGAGTTCCAATACCGAGCAGTACTAAGTTCCAATACCGCTCGGTACCGAGTAGTACCGAGTAATACCGAGTTCCAATACCGAGCAATACCGAGCAGTACCGAGTTCCAATACCGAGCAGTACCGAGTTCCAATACTGCTCGGTACTCGACGAGTACCGAGCAACACCGAGTTCCAGTAACGTTCGGTACCAAGCGGTACCAAGTTTCGATACCGAGCCTATGATTAAGAAAACGAAGAACGATGAAGAAAACGAACCTACACTGCTCACGTCGCCTTCACTGTTCGCGTTGTCGAGCCGCTTCGTCGACGAAGGATGATCCTATCGACTTTAATGCTCGCGTCGTCAAGACTCTTTGTTGACAAAGGATGATCTTGTTTGCTTCTATGCTCGCGTCATTGAGCCGCTCCTTCAACTATAACGAAGAAGATGAACACGTGTGTGGAAACGAAAAACCTAGCTCTTTGAAATGTTGCTCCGTGTTTTGAGCGGAAACGGTGGAAAGTCGAAAAGAAAAGGGTAAATCGTGGCTCCGTGTTTTTTTTAATAGGACACGCGTATCCGATACGCGTGTCCAGTCAAATTTAAATAATATTTTAATCGGACACGGCAAGGCCGTATCCGACACGTATCCGTGCCGTATCGGAGGCGTATCCGTATCCGACACGTATCCGATACAACACGCCTCGTAAATAGGAGTATCCGTGCAACATAGGTTCCTTTGATTGTAAAGAAGACTTATAGGATTAGATTGGGATCATTTATTGATTGAATGAACTATTTAGGGCCTCCTCTCTACCCTCTCTTTTTTTTTCCTCTCATGCCTATATTATTAAACAATTTCACAACTTTCCGATAGGAAACATTGTAGAACTCTGATGTTTCTTACCAATATTGGGATTTCAGTAATCTTCCCCCAAGACTCTCCAAACAAATCAATAAAACAGCGAGCAAATGCGTAATGACTGATGAAGGAAGGAAAATACCAAGATACAATTGATCCTCAATTTGAGAGCAGGATCGATCTCTCTCAAATCCCTATGCACTGCTAGAGCACAAGACGTCAAAGCCTCCACTAGAAAGTTTTGCAAAACAAAGATAACCCTATCCCTAATGCACCCCCATCTACTTAAAGCATACAATAATCTCTCCAAAAGACTAAATAGCCCTAATTCAAAACCCCTCCTAGCCATCCCTCTCTTTTTCTCTATTCAAGTAGTGGACCAAGGGCGCGGGAATCGCCTTGGGTGGAAACAGCAGGCTCATAAAGTTACTTGATGTTTTGAGGCTCATAAAGTAACAACCTGTATAAAATTATCGGTTAGCTATGAGGCTCACAAAGTTATGCAAATTAAATAACAGTTTAAATGCAATATTACAAGAAGTCACAACATTGTAATCATAATTGAATAAACTTACATTATTTGCAAAACATCATAAAATCATATTTAGGATTAACATTTAATTTTTTTGAAGTATGTACAAACTTTCAATATTAATTTTATAAAGAATTGACTAAACTTTCATAAGAATGTTTAATGGAGCCCAGATAAATCTGACATTATCGTCATTTAACTGTATGGAGGTCTCTTTTGCCCCACTTGCTATGCATGTATTATATTTCTGGGATTGCTTTTGCCCCACCTGTAATGTATGTATCATATTTGAGGTCTCTTTTGCCCCACATATAATTGCACGTAATATATCATTTTATAGCCAATCTTTTTAATTTATATTCAGTAGACTTTCAATATTCATATTTCATAAGTGCCTTCTATTATTGCATACTTTCATAACAATATATATGTTATAATATTTGCATAAAGAGACTGTGTGTGCCATATGTAAAGAATTAAACTTTTTTTTTTCAAAATATTTCTAACTAGAAAAATCTTTAAATAAATATGCTAACTTTTATTTGATACTCTCATTATTCAAATATACATGAGGTTATTCATACATGAAAACTTGGCTATGAACATACCTTAGCAAAATCATTAACTTTAATGTATATTTTCTTTTTAATTTAGTCAATTACAAGTATATATGTATAGAATTAACAACGTTTACCTTTTAAAATTTAACTTGTATTACTTACCTCATTGAAGAGCTGTCTTCTCAAATCATTCACCTCAAATAAATTGCATAACATCAACTTATACTTAACATAATAAATTACCTTGAAACCTCCCTTCTGCATAAACCCAAAGAATTCTAAAATACAATTGGTCACCCTCTTTAGAAACTTTTATTGAATTTAGGAAATTTAAAATATAATAATAAACTTTGAAATTTCATACCTCCTCCTTCCTCCTATTTCTCTTTTTCCTCTTCTTTCCTTACGTAAATTTTTCTTCACTCACTACAGTGTTTGTTTCGACCACTCACCAGCTTTCATCTAAATCTTCTCTTCTTTCACTCAGCCGAAGACAACTTCACAAAGAACTGATTCCTTTCTCTAATTTTTCATAACCGCATGTTTCCAACCCTCCACTGCTGCACCCGCCTAATGTTCACACTTCTCCAACCGTCTGTTGGCTTGTGTTTATTAAATCATAAGAAATGATAGGCCCACCGTATAACTGCTCTCAGAATAATTGATCACTCTCACATCCAAAGAAAGCATCTTTTCAGAAATATAGAAAGAACTAATTTCAATTAATATTTTACTTATATAAATGCTAATATTGACTTAACAGTAATTAACTATTAATTAAATATTAATTTATTTAGCATTTAATTATACTAAAAAATATTAATTAAACTTATTTAAACTTTAAAAGAACAATCTGTTAAAATTTTCATTACCTAAATATTTTTTGGTATTACACTTGTGCATCCCTTTCCAATACAATTCTGTTGCAAGTCCTGCACCCAAGAATGACCTCCAATAGTGCTCCCATGGAATTCCTTTAACAGGAATGGGAATATGGACTGATGTCTTAGGCACACTTATCAACAGCGAATGGTGCACCATGGAGCAAAGTTCCCTGTGGAGCCGTGGCACATAGTGCACGGTGCGGTGCGCGCCATTTTGAATACTGCGCAAAATAAAAAAATAATTATAAAAATCATTCTATGTATCCTATTTTAAAGTATTAATCAAGTTGGGTAATGCTTGGTTAAATATATTTATTGTCCAAAGTCTAAACCATTAAAATGAGCTTCAAGTTTTTCCTAAATTTCTAATAAAAAAATCCATAAAAGTATTTTTAAAAAAGTCCAATAAATTCTAACTAAACTATTTTAATTATATAAAATAATTTAAAATTAATTATTACATTATTTTTGAAATTAAAATATATAAATATTAAAAACTATTTATAATTATATTAAAAAATCCTTTAAATTCAAATTGCGCTTACCGTGCACCATTGCGCACACATGGCCCACGTGGTGTGTGCCAACTTGAACATGTGCGCCGCATCATGCAGATGGTATCATAGGTGCGCTGCGCCGCGCCATGCGTGATTGACAAGTATGATCCTAGGCATCACAAATCATCCCTGGTACAACAGTCTCTCCTCTCCAAAGAATGGCCAGGATGACTATTCCCGTCCTTCTGTAGATCCACTCTAATCCTCTCCAGCTCTGCATCCTGCGCTCTTCTCCTTGATGGCCCCCAATTCAATTTCATGGGTATCGATATTGCCATCTCTTGATGCTCCCCCATACATTTGGTTAAGGCATCCGCCATCTTGTTCTCTATCCTGGCCCTATACTGAATTTCAAAGTCATATCCCAATAACTTTGACAACCATCTATGGTGCTCCTCTATCACCATCATCTGCTCCAATAAGTACTCAACTCTGTCAATCTGTCCTGACAATGAAATGTCGACCCAACAGGTAGGGTCACCACTTCTGGATGGCTAAAACAATAGCCATGAACTCTATCTCGTAGACTTACGTTAGCCTAGCTCTAGCTGTCAACACTTGGCTGAAGTAAGTTATTTGCTAGTGGCTAACACAATAGCTGCCCCTAATCCATACCCTGATGCGTCCATCTCTACTATGAAAAGCTGACTAAAAGCTGGCAGGGCCAAGAGCAATACAATGGTTGCTTTCTTCAAGCTCTCAAAAGCATTTGTGGCTGCCTCCCCTTACAAGAAGCTATCATTCTTTAAATATTCTGTTAGTGGCCAGGCGATGGTGCTATATACCCTCACAAACCTTCTGTAGTATCCCGCCAGCCCTAAAAAACCCCTTAGCT